AGGTCCCTCTGGATGGCATCCTTAAGATGTAGGCTCAGAGGGTACTCTTGAGCCCTTTTACCAAGATCTTTTGCTCAGCTTGTCTCTGCTAATAGTCACAGCAACAAATTTCCTCCTAGACTATCTTAAATCCCAAACATGATGGATATAAAAATTCCTGTTGGATTAATTCTTATTAATTTGGGTCATTCAAGATTTTGTTGGCCCTTTGAAAATCCAGGTCCCATCCAAAGCTCCCTACATCCTTAGCCTCCACAGCATCCTGGGATGGTGAGTACCTCCATCTCAACACTGCAAATTATGTTTGGACTGTGTTCCTTTTAGCAGTGTCATTTCACCCAAGGAGAATAGTGGAACAGATCAAAATGTACCTGAAAACTTGAAAGTCAGCAACTGGTAGGCAGCATGTTCAGGAGGCACAAGCCAGAGAAAGTGGGCTCTAAAGGCAGGTAATATATTCTTTCTCCTCAGGGGTACAAGATGGATGATCTTTTGACCTCGTACATCAGCCAGATGCTAACAGCCATGAGCAAACAGAGGAGTGCAAAGGGTAGCAAGTGAACTGCAAGAAGCCACTGGCACGTGGCCATGAGGCTAATTCACCAGCTGAGGTCTGTGGGATACCCGTGCAGCTGGGGGAGAACCTTTGCCTCCCAGATGTGGAAGATGAGCCGAACACCATCAGGGAGTTCGCTGGACTCTGACCTTGAGGGCTCAAATCCCACTTCCAGCGAAGACGACTATCTCTGACCTCCCGTTCTCCTTCCCCACCCTGCGCCCCGACTCCATCTTACACCTCAAAGATTTCCAGGGGACACCACTGCTCTCAGACAGTGACTGAGCAAAGACACTCCGGCAAGAGGTTTGCCTGAACCCCAATGGTTGGCATCGCAAAGGCTCTTGGAAGAGGATTTGTGTGTGTGTGTGTGTGCGTGTGCGTGTGGCTTGTGTTGGTTTGGTTTGGTTTTTTGTTAAGAAAGAGAGAGCTATCGGGATGCTAACATCTTTTGGTGAGGTTATGGGCATTTCAAGCTTTTGGTGAGGAACAACAGAGCCGCAACCTATGCTGGAACACTACCGCAGGGCTTGTTTTTTGATGTTACAAGAAATTAAGTTGTGTTCTTAAGAAGGACAGAAAGAAAAAGCAGGCTGGGAGGAGCACATTTTAACTAGGAATCAGAATGAACAAACTACTGGTCAAGCAGGTTAGAGTACTAAAGTGCTGTCTGTGCAATGCTGGAAATATTTAAAGAACAAATTTTAAAGTTTTGTTTCTTCTTCTATTTATTTTTTAAAATATTAAAAAGAAAAAAAAAAAAAAACACAAAAACAAAAACCCCTGCATTTCGTGCCGATATCTGGACGCTGATGTGGGGCTGAGGGCGACCTGCAGAACAATCCCTCGCCCAGGGATTCCCCCAGAGCTGTGACTGCCAGAGGTTAAGGCACATCTTTCCCAACTTACAGGCTCAACTGGAAGTGAAGCTTGGAAGTCGAATTATCCCCTTTTCCCCCTGTGTCCAGGCAAGTTAACCCTGGGAGAATCTTTATTGCAAGCTTCAGTGTGGATGTAGGGGTTTTGAAGTCCCCACCTTTGGAAGACTGAGGCCAAGCATGTGTTGAACTGTGATTCAAACATGGACTTTGCCATCAGGGTTGGAAACAGCTAATGATTTTACTGTGCTTTTGTGTGTGTGTTGCTGTATAAAATGGCTCTTTGCAAGTCCCAGCTGGACCTGAACCACTCACAGTGTGGGTAGGCCCTTGATTTCTGTGGGCTTTTCTCCAACTTTGGTTGTTTGTACCCACCTGCTGGCTGGTTATCCGGTCTTCCACGTGACCAGGCTGCTTTGGAGCAGAGATGAGACCTGCCAGCAGAAAGGAGGCTGAAACCCTGTTGTGGCTGAGGGGATGAAGGGGAAGGAGCCTGGGGTGCCTTTCCAAAATCCAGGCTTCAAAGGAGCACATGCCTGGGTGTGAGGCAGCAGGAGGGTTGAGAATTGTCCATCAAGACCTGGTGCTGACTTCAGTAACACTGGGTGGATCTCAGCAGATGTAGGAGGCCTCTCTTGGTCCTGTGCATTGGGCTGAGTTTGGCTGCTTTTATAAAAGCCCATATAGTAGGGTGTTGTGTTCTGTTAAGCTCAGCTGAACACAATCACTCAACTCCCTACCAGACCTCAAGGACCATGACATCCAACTGGGATGCAGCAGTGACTTTGGAGCCCGGTTGCTCTTCCACAGTGAATAAGATGCTGCCTGGAGACATCCACCAGCCAGCCAGGACTGCTCGGAGATTCTCTTCCTCCACCGTCTCCCCTACCCAAGGCACTCTGTGACAGGACTGTAGCCAAGGCTACACTGGGAGCCAAGCTGCCGTCTCACTATCCATCTCCGATGTATCTCACCCCTCCCGAACTGCTCCAGCTGTCCCAGGGATCCCAACTATCCTTAGACACATGCCCATCATCCCCACCACTGCTTTCATGCATCTTCAGCCATCCCTGCCTCCCATACCACGCTCAGTAGATGATGAAGCATAGGAATGTTTTCCAGCACTGTCCACCATCCTCGTCCCTCCACCCACAGCTCTGTCAGCCTCCCATGCACCCCACCGCTTTGGGAGGTGCCGGGACTCCGTGTGCGTGTGCCTGTGTGTCATATGTATTAGCATCTGCTGGCCACTTTGTATTCACACCAAGCGATGTAACATGAAAAACGTATGTCCAAGCAAAATATTCTAATTAAAAAGCATCACGTGGTTTGTGGGAGGCTGTTCTGCACTGCGCGGTTACGGTGGTGTGTCCACGGCAAAGGGTGGGCTCAGGGCTCCCAGGTCCTTGTTGGGGACAAGACTTCTTGCAGAGTGGGACTTCTGGTGAGAGTCTCCAGAAATGAGGAGCAAATCATCAGTGTGCCCTGTCTGGAAACTAAAAGTGAAATAATTTCTTTTTGGGTAAAAAACACGGGAGACTGGGGAGTCACCATTGCTCAACTTCTAAGACAAGGGCTGGTTTCTCCACAAAGACCAGTTTTGAGCTGAATCACTGTATGTAGGAAGTATTGGGTGAAAAGTTTGTGTGTGGGAGCCAGGCTACCTGGCATTGCCAGACCCTGCTAGCTGTGAAGCAACAAAAACAGTAGCTGAGACGTGACAGGACATAAGGCATTGCAGGAGACCACAGGTCTGGTGGGCCAAGTTCTGCCTGGCAAAGCTACTGAGGATGAGGAAGGCGAGCACAGGCAGACATCACTGCATAATGGCCAAGCAGCAGCTACATACATGGATAAAGGTGCATTGAGGTGGCTTTTCCAAAGAGCTGTGATCAGGGGACTGCAGCTTGTCCCAGACAAGCCAACCTGGACACCAGGGACAGGCTGAGGACCCCATGGTGCACACCGCCGCTCAACCCACACACTCTCCACCTCCTCTTTTTGCGGCTCACAAACCTCCACAGCAGTGGTACCCACAAAAAATCATGAACCAGCTATGGATGCAGGGCATGGGGAGGGGGGCTTACCCTCAGTAGCATCCTCTCCCCATGCTTCATAGGTCTGGAGCTGTTCTACACCAATCCAGCAGCCCTTTAGCCCTTTTCCAAAGAATGCTCTCTTTTCACATTTCTAGACTCCAAAATGCTCCAAACTTGCTACTTGGAAAGTTGTGAGTGCTTCTCAGCACAGCTAACTCTGAAACTTAATGCTTCCCTGTCACAACTGATTTGCGATAGCTTTATTTAGCAAAAACTTCTTGAGGCTCATGATGTATGAGAAAACGTCTGTAGCCTGATT